ATATATGCTGTCCTTGGGGAAGAAGGCCTTTGGTAATGGTGGTAGAAAAGTGCTCTCATCCTTGTGACTTAGGAAATATACTTCCTCTGCTGTTGGTGAAGGCATTGTGCAGGGGACTAAGACAGATGGCAAACATGTTCCAATCTCTTAGAAATGTGGTGTGCCCCAATCCTCTTTTTACACTGCTGGATGGGGTGTAGGGAAGAGAGGGAGAAGAAAATTATGCTGGTCTGAGATGCATGCCATCTGAAAGCCAGTGACACCCTTAACAATGTAGTGACATGCTTACTCATATCGGCCTATATCCCCTTGGAGTACCTGAGCCACCCAGCTTTGAGAAAGATTACAAAAGGCTTCTAGGATAAATACTTGGGAAGGGAGTGAAGAGTTGGAGTGGAGTGAAAAACCCACATCAGTATCTTCTGTTCTCCTCTGGCAGCACGTCTTAGCATTTTCAAGGACTGAGAAGTCTCACACAAAGAACAGCCCTGTCATTCTTAAGCTTCTCTTAGAGTTAGGAGGATGGAATCAGGTTGGCTTATGCTATTCTCATCATACTTGTACAGCATCTTAGCAATGATCTGGATAAAAAGAGATCTTGTGGTAGGTGGAGGCTGATGGTAAGTAGTGGTGAGACAGGTGGACCTGGTCTTAACTTTTCTCCAGCTCCTACTTGTGGACACTCAGAACACCCAAACCTTGAGACTGCATGACTCTAGAGATGCCACAGGATGTCAGATTGTCACCAGGAACCTAAATCTCCCAGTCCTCAACATGGAGAGGACCGACTGGTGAGGGGCACTTGGCTGTATTGCCGGTGCTGTTTTGCTTGTTCACCTGACCTTTCCCTTTCCGCTGTCTTGGAAACTTTCACTTCCCTGCTTTCTCTGTTTCCCTCCCTCCTTCTCTCCCTTTTCTTCATCCCTCCATCATGCTGGGGCTAGAACCCGGGGCCTTGGGCATCTACTACTGAGCCACACCCTCCAGCTTTTCTGTCTTTGTATATTTACCATGTCCCCAGTCCATGCTAACCCACACTTCCTTCCACTCACCTTCAATAATTAATGATTACATTTCATTAGCTTTTGAGCAGCCTAAGTTTGAACACAGACTTTATTGTCCATTGAATCAATGTTATTAGGATCAGCTGAGTGGGAGACACAGCGCCATATAGAATTGGCTTTTTCAAGGCACCCTTTAAATCTATACTTGTTGTTTGTTCGATATAAAAGACTCTAACTTCTTAAAAGACTAAAAAGAAATACTTAAAAATAGAATGAAGACACCCTGAAGTCTGCTATGGTAACTTAGGCATCTTCTTCCTTTAATGATTTCTATTTAAGAGGACAGGTTGTGTTTTTAAGCTGTAGATTTTTCTATGTTGCTTCATAGCCAAATTGGCTGCAGGACAGCCATATTATTCGTGTTTGAAAAGAGATGGGAAATGCTTGATAGAACAAGGCTAGTCTTTCTGGTTGCTGTCCAGAAGTGAACTGACCCAGTTTCTAAAACTGTCATCTGTTCTCTGAGATATTTCTCTTTGACTGATGTGTGTATGTGTTTCATTGGAAGAGGGAGTGTTGGTTTAATTTTTATTTGTGATCTTTGTACATGCTTTAATTCCATAGTACCTTGAAAGGAAGTTACTTCTAGTCCAAAGTCTACTGCTTATGACAGCATGGCCAAAATAATTTTTTGCCTTCTTATATCTCCTTAGATAAACTGTCTCTCAGGTCAACATCAGCACTAACTGCCAGCATTAACTGAAAAGTACATCATACAGTTTTGAGTGGTAAACAGTTGTATGTTATTCCTAGTAATAGTTTTTAAAAGATTAGCAATCTTGGGGCTGGGGAGACGCTCAGTGAGTAAAGTGCTTGTTGTGCAAGCATGAGGACCCGAGTTTGGATCCCTGGAACCTACATCAAGAGCTGGGTGTGGTGGTGTATACCTTTAATCCCAGTGCTAGGAAGTAGAGAGAGGAGGACCTGGGGGCTTCCTGGTCAGCCATTCTAGCCAATAGATGAGCTCCAGGTTCAGTAAAGACCCTGTCTCAAAAAATAAGCTGGAGAACAATTGAGGAAGACACCCCAGCATCAACTGTGGCTTCCACAGGCACATATGTGGGCACGAGCTCCTGTGTGCTCACCTTCACCCCACCCCACCTACCCCACACCCCAATTCAATTTTTTAAAAAGATATAAGCCCTAGCATTAAAATATTTCCCTTAAAAAATAAAAGCCTCAAAGGCAGTGTGTAACTATTATCAAAATCGTTTTTAAGATCCTAAAGTGTGTAACATTCTTGGCTCTTTATTAAGGACTTTCTATGTGACTCTATTAATAATTTCCCTCAAAGAAGTTTTAGTCTGGCTTCGTTGTAGAGTGACATACATGCAGATGGCATAAGAACACTTGGCATAGGGGACAGGGAGGGTCCCACAGTTAGTGTACTGAGAACTGTGTGTTCAGGTTCTGAGGCCTAAGGGACTGTGGCACAGGAAACATGGGCTCCTTGGGGAGACTGTTCAAGAACTCTTGTCTGCTTGCAGTGACCTTCTTGTGCCCATTTCCTGCACTGATGACAAAGAGAACATTCAAGCGCTATTGCAATATTAGGTGTTTCTGCCCAGCTCTGTGACAAGCTTTGGGGTTATACAATAGGCTGGTTTTTAAATAAATCAGTACCTACGTTAAAAAGGAAACAACAGGTATAGAGTTGAACTTTAAAGCTCAAAAATCCATTAGATTCTGCTTCTGGAAATCCAAAGACTAAAAGTCACACGTGTAATTTTTCCAGTCACTTTTTGATCAGTTAGAATTGATACTGAATCTCTGTGATGTTGAAGCCATTGTTGTCCAGACATATTTGTGTGGAGATATTTGTGTGGATTCACCCTGCAGAGTCAGAATTTCATGTTCCCTCCTTGCTGGATATCATTGCTGGAATAGTGTCGCTGCTGTGGTTGATGTGCTGTTCTTGTTGGAGTCTATGTTTGTAGTGATTGCAGTGGCCTCTCCCTGTCTTCTGTTTTATAAAATTAAGTGCAATAATATGTTCAGAGAATAGTAATATATGTTGATTAAGAATTTGTCTTTTGAAAAAACGGTTGCGAAATTTTCATAGCAGCGGGAGGTGTTAATATGGAGAACAGAACACAGTGTTGTGCTTCTCTCTGTGCCCTGGCCTCAGTTGGCAAAGACTGAGAACTAAGAGCTGATGGGTGCTTGTGGGCTACTGGGACTGTGTTTCTTTCATATTGAAGATATTATACATTGTTATTATAATTTCAAATAATGCATTTTAATTGTTGAGTTACTACAGTTCTAGTCAAGCCTTTAATTCAGTTTTTCATGGACAGGTTCAAATATTTCAATCCTTCCTAGATGCAGTCTGAAAAAAATAATGTACCAATTAAGTGTATGCAAGCAACTTCACAGTGTAACTGTCTGCCATAGCTCCCTCTGAGCATCTTTCAAAGGAAAAAGCTACAAATCTATTTAAATGGTTAAAAATATTCTAGTCTTTTAAAAAATGTTTTCTTAATTATTTTTATGTGTATGTGTGCATTGCCTGCATGTAGGAAGTGCACCCGTGTCGTGCAATGCCCGCAGAAGTCAGAGAAGCTGTCGGATCCCCTGGGACTAGAGTTATGGACAGTTGTTAGCAGCTATGTGGGTGCTATGTGGATACGAACCTGGGTCTTCTGCAAGAACAACCAGTGTTCTTAACCATTGAGTCATCTCTCCAGCCCTATTTTGGATGGTTTTAATTGCGCAATATGACCTCGATGTCTTTAGAAGTAGACTTAGGTAGAACTAAACCCCCACTTAAATAGCCATCCCATCAGAGCCTTGCTCCACGGCTTGTAGGAACATTCCACTTGACAGGGCTCATCCTGGTCCTTCTGCAAGAACAGTCAGTGTTCTTAACTGCTGAGCCATCTCTCCAGCCCCTCTACTCTTATTTTTATTTAATATTTGACAAATCAAAAACCCTGGAACCATACCGTAAATGGTTTATTCTAAATGTAATTCAAGTGGATAAAAACTTTATGTAACGAACCAATAGCATGATGCAAACACAGATCCTTTTCCATCTTTGGAGAACTGGATTATGTGGTTCATTTTGGCTCATGGAAAACTGACACTCTAAAATCCCCGAGCAAGCGCATCCTGTCTACCAAGGAAGCTCTGTGTCTCAATCCTAAAGAAGACAGTCAGGCTCTGACCTCTGCCCACCTGTTCTTTTGTTCCTTGGGGCAGCAGCGGAGGGCACTGAGGTCTGGCACACAGTGCTGTTGTTACATGCCAGTTTCTTGTTCTTTTAAGGAAATCAGAATCCCAGCTAGAAATTCCCAAGTCATTGGCTTCTCTGGATTTTTGATCACCAACTTCTCAGCACCCAGCCCTTTGTAAGTGTTCACAAAAGATAGCTATTATATAAAAGAATATCCTTCCCAGAACTCATGAGGTAGAGACAGGTGGATCTACATAGAGGTCAGCCTGGTCTACATAGCAAGTTCTAAGCCAGCTGGTGTTACACAGGGAGACCCTGTCTCAAAAAGATTAAAAAGAAAAAAGAAAAGCATGTCATTGTCTCTGTAACTGCAGCCATGATGTCTAGCTTTTTCTGAGCCATGGACATGCCTTAAGACTGCAAATTTGACTATCTAGACCTGTACTATCCAGTATGATAGCTACTAACCACATTAGCTATTTAAATTGAATTAAAATTACGTACAATTTTTAAAAAAAGCCCCTGGTTCCACTAGTTATCATTTGATTCAGACTTTGCCCTCCTGAAAAATGGTAAGGGTCGTGTTGAGCCGCACCGCTGCGGGTTGGCCCTCCGTGCTTTCCCTGCTGCCCTGGGAACCATGGGCTTAATAGGCATCTGTTGCTGCCGTATTGGACGTGCAGTAGAAAGTTCCACTGGACACAGAACTCTGAGCCTTCTGAGCACCAGCTGATGGATTCTTCTTTGTGTTTACAATGCAGTTGCCTGCTTCAGGAGGTGAGAGCTCCAGGAACGAGAAGGATCTTCAAAAGCTGCCTCGCACTGTGACATGTCTGCTCCCTTGTGCCCATCCCTGCAGCATGAACAAGGTAAGCGGTGCTTTGGATCTGGATTTGTATTTTTCTGTGGCGTCATGATTTCCTTGGGCACACATGTCTCTCAAGGCTGGAGGAGGTCTCTCTTCCTGCCAGAAGAGCACAGAAGGTGGGAGAGTCGTGAGATCTCTGTGAGCCATGTTTCAGGAAGGTCCAGGAGCTGGGGCCACTGCCTGATTATACAGTCTTGTAGAGGTATTACTTGCATTTTCTATAGGCCTTTCGTGACTGATAGGTTGACTGTTGGTATGGCGGTGTTGGCATGACTGCTGGAAGATTGAAGCTCTGGAGCCAGACTTCCTGAGATGAAATATTCATCTCTGCCAGACCCTGGGCAAATGACCTAAGTTCTTGATGCCTCTCTTTTCCCAAGTGTAAAATGCAATAATAGTAGATGAAGTGTGCTAATGCGTGTGCCACTGTTCACTTAGTGCCTACCTGCATTATAGGCCCTTGATAAATGTTTGCTGATGTTTTGATGTTGGGACACTGTTATCCCTTAGACATAACTGCAAGAGAATCTAATGACTGTGTGCAACATTTCCATTTGCTCCCTGATCGATTTGATGAGCAGTGATTGATCACTAGATGGGCACATTGGAGATAAGTGATGAGTAAGTCTTGGTTCAAGCTGTTAGCAGGTGGCCAACTATTTTGGTTGTCAGTATTCTAATGAGGTATGTACCAGAAACACTGGAGACACAGAAGAAACAGTCAGCTCTTTGACCTAAGAAGGACAATATAGAAAAGATGGTATTCTGAGATGGATCTGGATAGTAAACACTGATTTCCTGGGCAAACAAGGTACAGCAAGGTACTCTAGGTAAAGACAGAAGCCTGTTGTTGTATGAGAAAGCCTGGTATGCTTGCTCTGAGTACAGCAAAGCGTTTGGCCTAACTAGAGCAGTGTTACTCATTATTATACCTGGTGCTGGGACCATGGGATTCTGGAGTGATCATCTTCTGCATCGTAGGAGTTTTACTGGCATGCCTGTCCCCCAATTCTAGTCATGACAACCAAAATTGCCCCCTAGTATTTATTTCCTAGTATCCTTGGCAAAATCACTTCTGGTTGAAAACCATGGCATTTTTGTGGACAGTGGCCAGATATGAGCTCAGAGAAGGAGTAAAGGCCAGATTTGAGAGCCACCAAGGATATAAAACATAAGAGAAAGGTTTCCAGAGACTGGACAAGCAGGCATACCATGATGTTGTCTATGGGCTGCAGTAGCACTTTTGGGTGCTTTGGTTTTATAAAGCTATTATAGAATCCCACTACAGAAAGGCCATTTAACCTACTGAGTTTCCTTTTATATCCCCTCCTAAGACATATTTCTCAGGCCTTTCTTTTGGCCTTCTCAAGGACAGGAAGAGAGCCAAGGCCCCTCAATGTTTGCTGCTTAATTGGAGGTTATAGCTGCTACTGTATCTGAAGAGGCCAGAAAAAAAAAAGCAAGCAATTGTTTTGAAGATGCTTTCATTTGGCCAAACTAAGCCAAAAAATAAGAAGCCTTGTGCTGGGTGTCCCCTGATTCCTAGGCAGTGTCTTACCTGGCTTAAATACTTACCTTTAAATAGACAAAGAAGTCAGCCTTGGGAATTTTGGAAGTTAGATGGCTGTTCTTTCCCCCACAGTCATGGTTGGAGATGAAAAGAAATCTGTTACTACAAACCTTGGCTTTTATTATTTTGAGTCTGATGTACTGGAAAGTCAAGACAATGCTTGGAAAACTTTGGATCCACATGCACAGTTTGTGTTGTCTGCCCTGCCCTAAGCTGCCTCCAGGGCAGCATGGCAGCTGACGTCATGGTCTTGCTCTCTGTGCACTTGGGAAACAAAGGCTCTTGGAAACCTGTCAGTGTGTCTGTGCTTGGGAAGTTGTGTTCTGCTTGAGTAGACCAGTGAGTGCTTCATTTTAATTTCTTTAATTGAAAGTAGTGATTAAGCATGATGTGTCACCATCAGTCAGCAATTTCTTCTTACAGTATTTTGGCATAAGACAAAATAAATAGGTCACTCTCTGAAGATAAAGCAGTTCTTAGCACAATAAAACCAGGGAATGTTGCGTCAATGAGGTACATAACTTAGAAATGTGGTTGTGGGTGTGGCTGGTATTCTAAGTAGATTTGTTCCTAGAAAGTTGGAAACATTTGAACTATGCCTCTTCATTGGACACAAGCTCTCAATGCTGTCCTTCCTTCCTAAACCCCAGTTAGCTGGTGGGACATTTCATTTAGGGAGGTGCCAGGATGGAGTTCTAGGGTCCTTATTCCTGTGAAGTACTAGGGTGATACTGGTGCTGGGTGAGGTCTCTTTGGGGTCTATCAGGACAATCCCTCTAGAAAACATAGGAATGGCTCCATGGCACAAAGGGATTGGCAGCTTATTTTACTAATTTAATTATGAGGCAGCGAATGAATTGCCATCTGCCAGGTAGAGCTTTCATTTCTCTTTTGTTTGTTTGTTTTTGGTCTTATTGTGCCTGGGTCTAAGGGTACAGCTGTGGCCCTCAGATGCCTAGGACCTCTGTGCAAGCAGAAAGGGGAGTGAGGCATTCTTAGACACCAGGCTTACTGATATTTTGCCATTTCCTAAGGCCAATATATGTGGAGTATGTCCACTGGATGCCAATTCCAAAAGGCTGATGCAGAGATGCTTCACGATGACTCAGCCTTCCTAACATTGGGAGACAGCTTTAGTGGTTATGAGTCTGAGCCTTAAGCGTTAAACAAATTGTGAGGTGTGTGTTTTCCCAGAGCGTCCATTCCCTGTACCCCTCAGACTGGAAGACCTTGTTCCAACGTTCTTATGCTCTTCTTGCAGAGCTGCTTTTTCTAGTCTTTATGTTGATCAAAAAGTTCATAACTGGAAAAATCCCATAGCATACATTTTAATTTTGTAGAAAATCTTAATTCTTTCTACTTTCTAGAATCATTTTTTTGTTGACATGCATAAAGCTATACTATAATACAGCATTTTTAAGTTTTTTAGTAATGAGGATTACTGTTTGGGGCTTACCTATGATATTCTGTGTATGTTGGTGTACTGTAAAGAAAGGAATATAGTGTGCTTTTTGAAAAAAGAAATTTACAGGGGTGGAGAGATGGTTCAGCAGTTAAGAGCACTCACTGCTCTTGCAGAGGAACGGGGTTCAATTCCCAGCACCCACATGGCAGCTACAAACCGTCCTTAACTCCAGTTCCAGGGGAATCCAAAGCCCTCTTCTGACCTCCACAGCATAGCACAACATGGGTACACTCATATACATGCAAGAAATACAATCATACACATAAAATAAAAATAATAAATAAAATTTAAAAACAAATTACAGACAAAATATGGGGCAAATCAGGATTCTCAGAGGCAAGCAGAACGGTGGTGCCCTCACCGCACACTGCCTTACGAGGTCACAGAAACCACACCTGCAGTGACAGTCTACTCCTGAATGCTCTGTTCCTGTGGCAACCATGTGGGGTTGACCCTTCATTCTTGCTCACACTCAGTGGTTTCATGAAGCCATGTCATGGGCTCTCCAGATTTATGAATACACTACATCTGATTGGAAAACAATTGCTTTTTCTAATATTACACAAAATGACCCTCTCCCTTCCTGACCCCCAGTCCGCACAAAGGAATCTTGGTCTTCATTCTTGTCATATTCCAGTAAAGCCAGCTCTGCTTCAGCTGCTTTACGAGAGTGCCATAGCATGCAGAAGACAGAGGAAGACCTCTGATCACTCCATAGGTAGATGCCATTGTCGGCTTAATTACTTGCCCCCCAGAGTTTTTCCCCAGAATGTTTTGTAGTATTCAGGCCGTCCTGCCACACCAGGTGGAGGCAATTTCCCGTTTACACTCAGATCGCTATCTCTACAGTCAACTAAAAAGTAAAACTGAAACTTCACTTCTGCCTTCATTTACAGTTTTTCTTACTTTGCACCTCTTTACTATTAAGCAGTGAAGTCCAGAGTTCATTCCCCTGAGTTGCCCACCCAGCTCTTGGTATAGATGTGACTCTAGTTAATAAAGTATCGGCTCCTCTAACAGAGATGTATCAAGTGCTGTGCTTGCAGTAAATATACCAGTGAGAACAAACGGCCGCCTGAACTTCCACTCTGCCAAAGGTGGTGAGAGTCATCAGCTGAAGGTTTAATATTTAAGCATGAACCTAATGTTAAATCTTTTCCACTTTCAACTTCGTCCAGTAGAGGAGCAAGTTGACAGTGATGTAGCACGAGAATGGGCCACTAATAAACATAGCAGGTCTCTTTCTTCCCCTTCTCTGGATGCCCTTGATGGTTTCACTAAAGCCCAACTGTAATAAGCGTCAGCTGACATCTTTTCTGAAAGCAGTGGCTAATCCTCCTTGGGTCAGACTTTGAAGAGCTAGTGAACAGCTTAAAAACTAGTGACATAAAAGAAAAGTAAACATTAAGTGATCTTGAGATAAGGAAGGCCTTCTTAATTTCTTGTGGCAGAAACTACAAACAATGTTTCACGATGTAAACCTTAAAGTTTCTTTATGTCAAAAGATTTTCTGAACTAGTTCCAAAGAAGACAAGCTGAGGCAGTATATATACATATATTTGTAAATGTGTATACACATACATATATAACATATATGATAGCTCATCAGTTAAGTATTCTTACAATCAACCTGTACAATAAGATAAAAATAATTGCTTTACACTGAAGAGCATTTGGGGTGACGCTTTGACCCTATAGGCCTTTATCTATCTATCTGTCTGTCTGTCTGTCTACTGAGGGGTGCAGATAGTGGAGGGGATATAAATATGATAAAAATATATGAAATCCCCAAAGTTAAATTTTAAAAAGTTAAAAAAAATAATTGCTTAGTAGAAAATGGTCAAAGAACAGCAAGATAAGACTCATAAAGGAAAAAGCAAAAGTAAGTTTGAACACATCAAACTTAACAGTAATCAAAGAAATACAAATAAATATATCAAACTTACTCAGTAAAGGTAGGAATTGA